TTTGTGCTAATTAGCTAAGAATACCACTGAATTATTTAATTATCTCTACTTTTGTGCCATAAAATATGTTGTCATATCACACTCTGTCTTGCTGTTGCTCTTCATACTTAATGATGCCTTTAGAGTTCCTGATTTCCTTTGTTCTCCCTCTGCAAGTGGTTTTTGGTGGTGCTTGGAAAGGAGGGGAGAGCGCAGAGGGGAGGCCAAGGAAAAATCTCAGATTTTAAAGAAATTTGGATGTGTGGGAAAATCTTTACACATGCTCATCTCCAGCTCCCTGTGCCATACTCAAATCTACAGATTTATTGCTGATCCAACCAAGAATTCTTTCCAGAGGGAAAAAAAAAAAGGGAGAAAACACTCATTTGGAAAAAAATTAAAAATCGGCAAGGAATGCTTTTTTTTTTTTTTTTTACCAAGGAAGAGGTAAATTATGATAATTACTCTGACTGGTAGGGTCCTTAAGCATTACTAATTAGCATTTATTGCCTGGATTATTGAAACAATGTGTGTGTTCCCAAGAGTGAGGAAGAACTGGGATGCTCTTTCCTTGGGAGCCCTGGGAAAAAGGCAGGGCAGCAGGAATGCGGCACAGTTGGCACCGAGGCTCCTCGTGCAGAACTGGAATTGTACCTTTGGGAAACCCACGCCTTGAACTCCTCAACCCTGCCTTGCCTTCCCCCCTCCTTGCTCACCGAGAAGGGAACAAAATTTAGGGTGGAAAAAGGAGGAAAAAAAAAAAAATCAAAATGGTTTGGCAGTGGTCGGAGGTGCAGATGAATTCTCTGGGAATTGCAGTGACTCCTGTTATTCCAGGGATTGTGCACAAACCTCCTAGGAATAAACATTTTGTTGCTCTAAAGCACTGAGGTATGGCCAAGCACTTCCTTACAGAGGAATTAAAGGGTTAACAAATCCAACAAAAAACAGGAATATTATGGTATTTCCAACTGGCATTTTGACCGACTTTGTGAAGAGCGTGCAATCAGATTTCAGCATAGACTGCATTTTAATATCGAGCATTTATAATGTGATTTAAGTTCAGAATTAGAAATCGATCAGGAATTAATCAATCATCTAATCAGCACTAGCCACTACACAGCATCTCAACTGCAATTTGCTATCTGGCCCAATAAATCCTTAAGTACCTTGGAAATGATTCAGGGAAGAAAGGCAGTAAAAGTATTCTTTTTTTTTTTTTTTTCTTTTTTTTTTTTTTTTTGTAGCTGCAACACTGTGCAACTTTAGGTCCTGTTAAACCCCTGGAAATAAAAATAAAAGAGCAACAATGGCAAACTGCAGAATGCTCGGACCTTTTACCTTTTCCTGCCACCAAACCCTGTGCCTTTCAACTTGGGAGAGCAAGTTCCAACTCAGCCACAACGAGGTCAAAGTCACCGAGCTCAAAGCTACAGACAAAACTCCCAGACACCAGAGTTTTGCAAAAGTTACGATTTTTTTTTAAAAATAACTATATTCAGAAAAAAAATCCCATGCCTCATTTGCTTATCTTTCTCCTTCCTAATTATTTGCATCACATATTGCACAGAATATTTAGCAATGCATTATATTAAATATAGTGGCAGCATATTAGATATACTTTTAATTGAAACTTGTTCCAGCGTGGTGGTTTTTATTTTAGTGCTGAAAAAGATCTTCAATCTTTATTAAGCTTTACTTATTCTATTTATTGATTAGATTAATGCCTAATACTTATTTTCTCTTCTATTTTCGTTGGAAGACACAAAACCATCTTTTCGTCCACAGATTCGTTTTTGTTTTTGTTTTTGTTTTCTAATGAAAACATAAAATCGTGGAAACTGATGAAATTGTTGTTAGAAAAACTCTGTAACACTAAAAGAAGAAAGCCTTGGAGCCACGGGAATAAGCCAAAAAATAAACCTCAAGTGCCATATCCCTCTTTTTGTCTGCAGAAGGTAAAAACCGCTGCAGGAATCGTTCTGGGCTGAGCTGTATCTGCTGGAATAGAAACGATTCCGGCTGGGGATTTATCTGGAACAGAATACCATTCTGTTCTTTCTGGAAAACGATTCCGGCTGGGTATTTACCACGGGGCTGATTTTGAATATTTTTGCAGCGAAGGGGCACGACCGAGAATCGCCCTGAACCTGCGCCTGGAATTCTGCAGCGAAGGGGAAAAAAAAAAAAAAAAAAAGGAAAAAAAAAAAAGGGTGTTTGGGGGGGGACTCCTATTCCAGCCTCTGTTCTTTCCTTTTCTCCCGGCTGCAAAACCATCCTCGGCGGAGCGCAAAATTCGCTTTTTTCCTGCTTATTTCCACCCCCCTCCGCTCATTCATTTTATTTTATTTTTTTTTTTTTTAAATTTTGGGGCCACTCCGCGGCCGCTGTGTGCCTTTAAAGCCGCAGCCGCGGTAATTGATGTGTCTGGGCCAGTCTAGACTGGGAGCGGCTCCCGACGAGGCAGCGCGCAGGGGCGCGGAGCCTGCGCGGGTCCGTCCTCCCCCTCCAGCCCTTCCCCAGCCAACCCTCCCCGCCCATTGTTTTGCCGCAGCCCCGCACCGCGGACACAATAGCGACCCCCGGGGAGGGGACAGCGGGGAATTGGGGGGCTCAAAACGTGGGGATCCCCCCCTTGAGGAGCGCAGGATGCGCGGAGATGCGCGGGGATGCGCGGGGGATGCAGCGCAGCCGCGCAGACAAAGCGCGCTCGACCCTTGCCTTCCCTTCTGGGGAAAAAAAATCGCGACTAAAAGCTATAGAAAAGGGTAAAAAAAACCAAAAAAACCCAAAAAAACACCACCAAATAAATCCACAACCTGAAAAAGCAACCCCGAAAAGCATCCCAAAAAAAGCAGCCCCGAAAAAGCACCACGAAAAAGGACCCCCCCAAAAAAAGAAAAAAAAGCACCCAGAAAAAAGCACCGAGAAAAAAGCACCGGGAAAAAAGCACCCCCGAAAAAAGCATCCCAAAAAGCATCCCCCCCAAAAAAATCCCAAAAAAGCAGCCCCGAAAAAAGCATCCCAAAAAGCATCCCCAAAAAAAAATCTCAAAAAAAGCAGCCCCGAAAAAGCGCCATGAAAAAATGATCCCCAAGAAAGCACCCCCGAAAAAAGCACCACAAAAAGGACCCCCCCAAATAAAACACCACGAAAAAAGGATCCCCAAATAAAGCACCACGAAAAAGGATCCCCAAAAAAGTACCCTGAAAAAAGCACCCCGAAAAAGCATCCCCAAAAAAGCACCCCCGAAAAAAGCATCCCCAAAAAAGCACACCGAGAAAAGCATCCCAAAAAAGCACCCCCCAAAAAAAATCCCAAAAAAGCACCCCCGAAAAAAGCATCCCCAAAAAAGCACCCCCCCAAAAAGCATCCCAAAAAAGCACCCCTAAAAAAGCATCCCAAAAAAGCACCCCAAAAAAGCGATTTTTTGCGGGTGTGGTAATGGCTGGACAAAGGTGCGGGGCTCCAGAGCTCCGCATTGCAAATTTACCACGCCAAGCAGGTAACAGAAAATAAATGCGGCTCACTTTGGAATTAAAGAAGGTCTGGAATAATATAGAAATTCAGGAGGACAAGGCTTTCTTGGCTTTTTTTTTTTTTTCTTTTTTTCTCGCGGAGGTAAAACGCTCAGTGAAATTACAGTGGCAAAAAAAACCCAGCTAAGATTCATTAATAAAAAAAAAAAGAATCAAAATCAAAATCAAGCGAGCAACCTTTTCCAGTTCAATAAGTGTTTAACAACAGGAACCAGCAAACATATCCTAAAGCTCTTAAATATCAAAATGTTACACCGTCAATTAATTTTTGGTGCATCGTTTTAAGTTCAAGCATTTGCATTCAAATATCAAACAGTAATTTGGTGCCATAACAAGGTACAGTAACTTCATTATAAATTGCCTTGCAGAACAGAGATAAGAAATACAGTTCCAACCATAATTAATTTTACAGCAACATAAAAAAATCTAATAAAGAAAAACAGCAGCAGCAGGAAACATTTTGAACATTTCTGATCCATCATTTACATATCATATTGCCCGGAAAAGCAGCAAAGCTGGAAGTTCTAGAAAAGAACTCAAAGAAAACTTCGGCATTTCTTTTTACTTTTTACTTTCCAACCATTAATACATGCAACCATTTTATTCTGCACTTTATTTTTCCAACCTATAAAATGCAACCCATCTCCTGGCTTTTTATTTTTATTATTTTTTTCCTCTCTCCTTTTTTTTTTTAATTTTTTTTTTATTTTTTTTTTTTTTTTTTTTTGGTGTGTCCATAGAGCACATTTCCAAGATTAATCGTTCAGTTTTAAACTTGGAAGCATGAGGCATGCTGGGATTTCAGCTGAGGTCAAGCACCAATGTACCGAGCTGTTACTGTCACGCTCTCAGGGTACTCTGTGTTGCTCTCAAGAAGGGGGGGAAGGCAAAAAAAAATTAAAAAAAAAATCAAAATTGAGATGCTCTATGCAGTGGCCTGCTGCAAAAAACCCAAAAAATCTTCTTTTTACCACAGGCGTGATATTAATATTCCTCCATGTTGAAATATATATATTTATCGCTTTATTTACCTATATTAATTAATACGTCTGTGGATCGCCATGCACACCTCAATAACTGTATTTATATGCGTCCATATCGTGTATATCTTATCTACACACGCATATATAATAATCACTCTGTGTGTACACACATACACCCCCATATCTGGATCAGCTGGAAAATTATCTCGTGAATATACACACACACATTAAAAAAGAAAAAGAAAATTAAAAAAAAGTCTCTGCGGTACGAACGCTAATTTTAATTGGATTTTTATACAGAAAATGGCCATAACCACCGCCCTACATCAGCCGATGGAGCCTAAGGAGGAGAAATACACTTATTTTTTCCTTAAAAGGTCTCTAAACACTATTGTATGTGTGTGTATACGGCTCTAAATATACACACCCGCGCTCACACATATACACATAGAGAGGAATTTTTTCTAAAATAAAATAAAGATGTCAAAGCACAACTCACAGCTCCCAAGAGCCTAACCCGTGGATTTAAAAGCTAAACATCACAAGTTAGGGTCTCAGGGATTGAGAGGGGCGCAACAAACTAGTCCTTGCAAAAAAAAAAAAAAAAAATTAAAAAAAATAATAAAAATACCAAAACCAACGGGGATCAAAAAATAATAATCATAAAAAAAAAAAAAAAGATCAAAAGGAGAAAGAGGAAAAGAATAGCAGGCAAGTTCAATTCATGGCTCAAGATTACAAAACAGGACACACAGGTGGAAGGAAAGAGCTTCTCTAAGGACCCTCTGTTGAGAGAATACATTCCATTTTTAATCGTTTATGCAACAAAAAAAAATAAAAAAATGACATGGCGCGGCAGGTTCCCTCACAGCTCCCAACAAGGTCGCTTGCGACAAATCCACGAAAAAGTCGCCGCATTTAAATAACGGAGAGGAAGTTTGGGGCAGTGACGGAATTATTTTCATTGTTTCAACGAGAAGGAATGCAGAAATAAGAGCAGGAATCCGCCGCTCGCCGCCGGCCCCTGGCACAAAGCGTGCGGCAGCGGCGGCAGCAGCGAGGCGCTGCCTCCCCGCCCCCTCCGCCAGCCCCGCCGATGGAGAAAAACCCCCGAGTGGCCAAAAAAGCAGGTAAAAAACGGTAAAAACTCACCGTTGGGAAGCGGGGCAGGCTCCGGTCACGGCGCTGGGAAGGGCCGGGCAGTGCCCGCAGCGGGCGGGGTGCCCGGCGGGCTTTGACACCCGAGCGGTGCGGGTGTGCGCAGCTGGGCGAGCCGCTGGCGGTCTTAAACATCATCTTTTCTTTTTTTTTTTGTTAAAAAAATATAGGGAATATAGGGAAAAGCGAGAAAAAAAAATTAAAAAAAAAAGAGGTTGGGGGGGGGGGGGTTGGTTGGTTGGTGGGGGGGTGGGGGGAGGAAAGGAAAAGGAACCGAATTCCTCCGCAGCTCCGCTCGCTGCCGCCCTCCGCGCTCCCCGGCAATGCCGCCGCCGCCGCCGCTGTTGTTATTATTATTATGATGAAGAGACGGGGCTGCTGGGGGGCTGCGGGAGCCGGGGCCAGCCCGGTGCCGGAGCGAGCCCCAGACTGTCAGCGGGGAGGAGGAGGAGGAGGAGGAGGAGGAGGAGGTGGTGGAGGAGGAGGAGGAGGAGGAGGAGGAGGAGGAGGGAGGAAGGGCGCGGGCAGCAGCAGCAGCGCCGCAGCCCCGGCCGCCCTCCCCTGCCAGCCGCCGGCCGGGGCTTCAAAGGAAAACCTGGAGAAAAAGCGGCTGGCCCGGGAGAGGAGGGTGCGAGCACACACAGCACACGGCACACACACACAAAGGGACTCCATCCTGCACCGACTCCTCTCCCCGAGCACCTTGTGCACCCCCAGCCAATGGAAATTTACGCCGGCCATAACCCAGAGCAGGATCTCGTCCCCAGCTTGCCACCTCCTTCCCTCCGCTCTTCTCCCCCTTCCCTCCCTCCCTTTCCTCCCTCTTTCCCCCCCCACCCCCCCGCCCAAATAAATAATACGGATCCGCACCCTCCACCCAGCTCTGGAACCGCTTTAGGCCCAGCGGCATAAGCGGGGAGAGGCGAAACGTACCGGAGGGCCGAGGTTAAAAATGCAGAATATCCGGCGCTGCCGAGGGCAGGTCCCCCCCGGCCCGGCCCCGCCGCCGCCCGGCCGGGGGCAGCGGTAACAGGCACCATTACGGAACCATCATCATCATCATCATCATCATCATTCACTCCGTCCTTTTCTCACCTCAGGAGTCTGAGCCCATTCACCAAAGTCCTTCCTCGTCCAGGAGCTCAAATATTTTCTCTTTTTTTTTTTCTTTTTTTTTTTTTTTTTCTCCTTCTGGATCAGCCAGTCCCGACATCATTAAACTATAGTCCTCCTCTTCCTCCTCCTTCCTTCTCCCCCTCTCTGTCTCCCCCTCTCTTTTTTTTTTCTTTTTATTTCAAAAAAGGGGGAGTGGGGGGGTGGCTGGGGGGTGTGGGGGGGAAGCAGACATAGCTGCATGAAGTGGCTGCCTTTTCGAAAGCACATTTAATCTTTCCTGGCTCCCCTAGGCTTCGATGAATTAGAAGGGAAAGGAGAGGAGAGGGGGAAAGAAAAAATCCAGGCAAGGGAGGCTGTTGAGGGACAGCAAGCATCAGGCTCAAATCAACGACCAGATGAAAATGTACTAGACCACACTGCCCCCTCTCTTCCTCTCGCTCTGTCTCCTCTCTCACACACTCTCACTCCTGGAAAGCTTCAGTGTCTGGTTACAGACTCTTTTGGATCCTTCCCCCCCGCTCCCCACCCTCGCCCTTTGCCAACTATCCTAGAGATTCCTTGCATGCCTACTTAAATCTTTAACAGAATAAGGACCCGGCTCCCCCCGCCGCCAGCCCCGCATCACTCGCACACTCTCACACACTCTCACACACACTCACACACACTCACACACACTCACACACTCTCACACACACTCACACACTCCACTGCCGGTCACCCTTCCCAATAATAATCTCTTAAGCTGCCGGCACAATCCCGCCGGCGCATCCCCGGCCCCGCCGCATCCCCGCCGGGTACCATCCCCGGCACCCTCCGGGCGGCCGCTCCCGCTTCCCTCCGCCTTCCCGAGGGGGTGCAGGGGGCTGGAGAGGGGAGCAGCCCTTCTCCTGGCATCCCTGCGGCTGGCGGTGGGTTTTAAAACAATAAAAGCCGGCGCTGGCTCTCGCGGGTGCCCCCGCTCCCCCCCGCCGCAGCCGCCCGTGGAAATCGCACGCCCCACGTCTGCAGTGAGCAGGCAGACTGCCTCATGCCCGTGATGACTTTAGAGCTGACAACCTCCTCTCCTCGACCCCCCCTTCCCCTCCACACCCACCCCTGCGCTCAATGGCAGCGCTGCTGCCTCTCGCACCAGACTATATTTGCAATATGTGCTAATTTACCAGCTATATGCCCTTGGATTTTAAAATGAACTCATCAGTCAATGTTTCTAGTAGCGATGCTCCCTCTCTCTGCCTCTCACACACCCTCCACTGCAGACATGTTACTCATTCTGCAAGCATTTCCTCCCCGAATGTCCGTCAGACGCATATACACTTCATTGATCAAACCAAATCCCCTGATAACAATAAATAATAATACAGACAGTTAACATCAGCGGGGAGTGGAGCGGGGGGGCGCGGGGGGAGAGACAAAGATGACGACTAAATCTGCATTGTGCTTCAGGAGGCTGAGCCCTGCCTTTCCCAGGGATGCTCCGCACAATGCGGGGCGCAGGTAGCCCCAAAACCTCACCCCGGGGCCTTCCCCAGCCCCCCGTTTGCCCAAACCTTGGGGATGGTGATGTTTAATACCTGAACCCACACAGGCTTCAAAAGGTGTTTGTAGGAACAGAAAGTGGATGTGGCTGTGGAGGAGAGGAAGCACCTCACGCAAAATCCAGCAATAAATCCAGGCAGTTTCTTTGTTACGCCGAGCACCGCACAGACGCTCAGGAATTAAAGGTATCCGTGCACCCAAAGACACAGGGATTTCCAGAAACACCTTTCAGCTCCCCCTGAAATCCCTTTCCTTTGTACTGAAGGCAGGGATCACCTATGCAAGACACCAGGTTGGGAAGAAGGGCTGTTAAACATCCCTCTGCCTGATATTTCAGGGGCTTTAGGGCTGCTGTGCCTTCATTTCCCAGTTTTCTGGGGCTGAAGCAGGGGAGGCAGGAATTTGGGATTGCCCTTTGGGATTTTGGCTGGTTACACAGCTTGTGTGGGTCTGGCAAGGAGAAAGTGGCTGCAGTGTGAGCGTTCGGGAAGTTGGGCAGGGTGGGGCTATCTAGAAATCTTTGACTCACTGGGGTAACTCCCTGAGCACAGGAATGAAATTATTGCTCCAAGCAAACTGCGTTTTATGAGCAGCAGCCTCAGAATGAAATTCTGCATGCGCACAGAGCTGGGGACAGCTAAAATGAACGCATGGAAACAAATATATAGCCCGTAATTAAATTATTGGGTGCAATGCAGAAGTCTCTGGGTGATGGAAGAGGTGGGATTATGCAGCAAAGTCAGTTTAGGAATGCACGGGTACAAATTTTCTTATTTATACCGCCATAATCCTGAGTGGCATCAGCCTAGATAAGGGAAGAATCAAACCTGTGTAGTGAAGGATCTAATCTTTGGGAAAAGTAGTCTGGATTAGTGACTGTATCTGCCAGCCACCCTTTCACTCCCTTTAGAGTCCCTCACCACCACTGCAATTTTTTGCCATCACGCAGAGCATTTCACATCCATTGTCTCCTGATCTTCCTTCCCAATAAAAAATGTTTGATTTTTTTTTTTCCCAAAGTTTTGTAGCAAACATACAATTTCTTTATACACTTTAGCCAAGCCTTTGGAGGATACTTATTTCAAGCAGTTAACACCTGACCCCAATTTTTGTGGGTAATTAGTGAGCTAGATAACCACACAAAGTGGGTAATTATTTAGTACCCAAGGGTACTGTACAAGAGGGTAGAGGCTGACGGTGTTAACAAAAGCACATCCCTAATTATTGTATCCATCCTGATGTTTTTAAGAATGGTTACTTCCACCTAATGATCCATGATAAATCAGAAAACTCTTCTGCCTCCCTTGGATGGGATAACCAAGGGCAGGAAGGGAGGGCAAAGCCAACGGAAGGCACAACTTCAATTTGTGCGAGCTCCAAGGGAAAAGAGAGGAATCCCCTTGGATAAGGCAATGATAACCATCCCTAAAAGCCATCAGGTTGGTTGGGAAGGCTGGAAAAGCCACTGGGAGGTTTGTAGGGAATGCCTCAGGGTCTGCTTCTGGCCCTGCTGATGGATCCTCGTGTGCAACTCCATCGTGCTCCAACCAAAAACCATTTTTCTCCTGGAAAATCACTTTAAAGCTGTAAAAATGGGGTGGTTTGTATTTGGGGAGGGTCAGAAATGCCAGGGAGTTGTGCTAGGTGGGGGAAAAAAATACCATATTTCATGAATTTCAATTATCCATCACTGCCAGTATTTATGTTGCCACAACCGCATTTCCCCCACGGGAAACGTTGCATCCTCAGAGGGGTTGTCCTCAGATTTAAGAAAGGAGAAATGGGAACTATATTGAAGTAGAAACTCAGTAAGATTTCATTCTTAAATCCATACAAATATCCCCAAGGCAGGTGTCAGAGGAGGGTGCCAGACTGCTTTGGTGAGAGGAAAAGGAGCAACAGCCACAAAGGAAAATTCAACAAGTTCCATCTCAACCCTGAGGCTGCCCTGGGAGGTTTTTGGGTTCTCCCTGCCTGGAGCCATCCTGGATGTGTCCCTGTGTCCCTGCTGCAGGTGACCCTGCCTGGGGCTGGGGGATCTCCAGAGCTCCAAATGCTCTGGGATTCTGAGAAAAAAAATAAAAAATTGGTTTAATCAGCAGCAGCAGGTGATAAAGAAGTATTAGCTGGAAACAGATCCAAAGCCTGGAACACAGAGCCCCCATCCCCTGAGCACTTCACACTCACTTAAGGACATCCTCAACCAAGACATTCTGCTCAGAGGAAAAGCACTTTCCTCTTTTAATTGCTTTTATGAATCACCACCGAGGTCCAGACACTTCATTTACTGGACTCCAGCAACCCTGTTTGCAAAAACTCAAATTCCAAAATGTTAAAGGCCTCCAGGCTGGCAAAAATAATAAAATAAAAAAATAATAATAAAATTAAAATAATAAAAAAAATAGAGGTGTCATTCTGTGTGGTTTGATCCCAACTTTGCATTTAACTCAACTTGCTGCTCTGGGCCAGGCACTACACAAAAACCCCACAACTGGCAGCATCACCTGGCCCTGTGACCACCAGGAATTCAGAATTTAAACAGAGAAAGTTTGAGGGGTTTCCACAACTTCTCATATATCTCTGTTGTTCTGTGGTTTGTCTTTTTTTTTTTTTTTTTTCTGGAGTGAAATAACCACAACAGAAAGAGGCCTGAAAATTGTTCTCATATTTAAAAAGGGGCCAAGTCTCTGCAGTCCATTTGTAAATAAATATAAATAAAATTGGTATCCCCTCCACTAATGCTCTCAGGGATGTGGTTTGCAGGAAATTCTTGCAGAAATGGAGTGAAAGTTTGCAGAGAGAAGCTGGAAAACAGAAAGGAAGAATGAATTTAATCATGGAGACAGGATCAAAGGAAGGAGAGTCCTTGGTAGGTGCTGTTGTAGCAGAAAGTAGAATAAATACAAACTATTACAATTTTTTTCCCCCTCAGATCAATTGGAATTAGCAATTCAAAGGGGAAGACACAGGAGAAGGGATGTTCAGCAGGGAGGAAGCTTTAGGGACTTCAGCATTAACTCTAAAACCTTGAGGCCTTTCTGAGACCAGTCAATAACTTCACTCTGAGCCAAGTGGACAGAGATCATTTAGGAAATATCTTTAAAATAACGCTTAGAGCTCAGCTGTAAGGACAGCATACATGAGAATAGTCTCCAAATTAATAAAATGTCTTCGGTAATAGAAATCAAGAATTCGAATGATGTGAGGAAAGGTAAAATTCAGAGTGGAAAGCAAAACTGGGCGAAGTTGTCATGATTTAGCCATTTCCAGAATGGTGCTCTTGACAACCAAAAGCTTCTCATTGGAGGCTCACTGTTTTGCAGAGCAGTTGCACAGCAAATCACTGATAAAATCAACATTCTGTAAAAATACAGAACCATCAGGACAACACTTACCACATCCCTGGTGGGTTGTGGATCCTTGGAAGAAGCTTCAGTGTCCAGATTGATTTTGTCACCCTCGTCTCATCCCCTGGCATTCAACAGAGAGGACAGAGCGTGGTTCAGAATCATCCCAGGTCCATTTCAGCACCACCAAATCCTTTTCACCCAGCAACTTTCCCCTCCAAACCAGCAGATTTTGCCTCCCCCAAGCATTAAAAAGTGGTGGTTGGATTTTCCCCCCACCCTTCAGTTCTGCCAACAGGTTCTCCTTGAGCCTCAACTCCACCCCTCCCTGGATAACGGGGAAAAATTGACATAATAAAGGTGAGAAAGCCATAAAATGATTGGATCTTAAGCAAGGGAAAAGGAAAGTGAGGCAGTGGGAAAAGACCTGGGACTCTGCACTCACTGAAACCAGGATTAGGGAAAAGGGAAGAATTCAACAAAAGGTCAGCCAATATCACAGAGGGATTTGGAGAGAAAGGTCACAAAGACTGATTCATCCAAAATCAGAGAGGTGGAAACACCGTACCCCGAATTTCTGTTTTGTCTGCCCTGATCCCGAGTTCTCCTAAAACCAGATGGATTTAACCAATTTGAAATTCAAGGTGAACCCCAAAATTACATGGATGAAGCCACACAAAGAATGATTACATCACTCTGGCATGATCTGCCAATTCCATCTCACATAAAGCACCCAAACCCCTCAGATTTCACGTGGGTTCAGGGCCACCAAAAGTTTAAGACGCGATTAATTCAGAACACAAAAAAATCTCCAAGAAGCTCACTTTTATTTCTCTTATTATAATTATTATTATTCTCTTATTTCACTCTTAAGCTCAATCTTATTTAATAAATCTAACCTGTTTTGGGGATATAATTTCTTAAGATTTGAGGTTTCACCCTGAAATCTGGCAAAATTTTGAAATACATCAGTTACTAAGAGATGGAGCTGTAGGAATATGTTACCCTACAAGGCTGACACACAAAAAAAAAAAAAAAAGTCTGGTCAACATTTAATGCTTTTTTAAACTTTAATTCAAATTCCAGTAGAGTCGTTGCATGAAAAGGTGGAGTCCCTCAATCAAGTCTTTTTTTCTTTCTTTTTTTTTTTTTTTTTTTTCCTCTGAAAAAGACAGTAAAAATAATACCTGTTGAGACTTTTCAGTTGGAGCTTAAACTGTTGAACTTAAATTCAACTTACAGAGAGTTTAGGGACAATTTGGGAATCTGAGCTGGCAGGAAAAGTGGAAAAATTAAAGATCCACAAGACTGAGAAGAGAGCAAGAATGAATTGTATTTCAGTAGGAAAGGAGCGCTAGGGTCACTATGGAAAATAAGGATTGTAATTCCCAGATTGGAGTGCTGCAGTCCACAGATCCATTCCCATCTCCTCCAGAAATTCAATATTTTCAATCCTTGATAATAACATAACTATTGCACCTAAGAAAGGAGCTGGGAGCCTGAGCCTCAACTGATGTCTCAGAGGGACCTGAGGAACCTCAAAGTTCCAAAATTCTTCAACATCCCCCAGAACTCCCCTCAGACTCCTCACCCTTCTCACCAGCACTGCTTGCTTTTTTTTAAAGAGAGGGTGGAACTACCTGAAAGACAAAACAAAGGCGTCTTTCCCAGGTTTCTATTACTACACCTGACACAATTTAAACCAGGAAAAAAATCCCTTAAAACGTATTTCTCACAAGAAAAAAAAAAGAAAACATGTTCCAGCCACTGCTTAAGAATGAAACCCAAGGGTAGGACACCAAAATATTTTCTCCAGCTGGTGGTGGGTGCAAGGCATTAATCCCTGCACAGGGACAGGAGGAGCTGGCACAGAGGAATCCAAAATTCCAAGCACAGAGCAATCCCAAAGCAGCAGAGAGGATTCCCAGTCTGCTCAGTGACACTCTCGAGTCTCTCCATCCCTTCCCCTTTCCTGCCTGTTTTATCCACCCCGACTGAAAACTCCTGGGGAAAAGGGATGTGTCCTCACAGGGGAGACTCTGGGATGCTGAGATATTTCGGTGTTGCTACCAAAAAAAAAATCAAAGCTCTGGGCTCTCCACCTGGGGAATTCTGTCTGTGGTGGAACAGGTTCTCCTTGAGCTCTGACTCCACCCCTCTTTGGGTAACGGGGAAAAATTGAAATAATAAAGGTGAGGCCATAAAATGAACAGGTTCTCCTTGAGCTCCAACTCCACCCCTCTTTGGATAACGGGGAAAAATTGAAATAATAAAGGTGAGGCCATAAAATGAACAGGTTCTCCTTGAGCTCCGACTCCACCCCTCCTTGGATAACGGGGGAAAACTGAAATAATAAAGGTGAAAAGGCCATAAAATGAACAGGTTCTCCTTCAGCTCCAACTCCATCCCTCCCTGGATAAAACTGAAATAATAAAGGTGAGAAGGCCATAAAGTGATTGGATCTTAAGGTGGTAAAGCGAGGGAAAATGAAGATGTTTTTTCTGTGCTGTGGATGCAGGGAGCTTCACACCCAGCTCGTGTCCAGCCTCTCCACCAGTGCTGGGAGCGGATGAAAAGCAGGGAGCCAGGTCTGGAGAGGGATGTGGGAGACAGGGTGAGTGTCAGGACTGTGCTGGGCCCAGCAGACGCTGCTCAGTGCCACAAAGAGCAGCAGGAGGCAGGCACAGCTCCCACTGCCCCTCTGCACTCCTGCAGCGCCTCACCGCAGCCTCTGCTCCACCCTAAACTCACAGCTCCTCCTGGCCATGATGCAAAAACACAGCCTTAAGACTTCCAGGAGATGCAACGTGAAGAAAACAGGCAGAAAAATCTGAATTTTGGCCTATTTACGTTGATAATAAATCACGTTACTGAGGATTTTTAATGTGTTGTAATAACGTTCTCGAGTCGATTGCATAAAAATAGTTTTGGATGATAAATCTTATCAGTGTTGACTCTGCAAATCTAAAAAAGTGTCAGCCCATCAGAAACATTTCTTCCCAGTGTGATCCTTGCAATTCCAGCATGAGTGTCTCTGAACAGCCCATTCAGGATCAGCTCCTCTGCCTTTACAACTCCCTTAGGAGGAACAAGGACCTCTATTTTATAGGCAGGGAGTAGAACCAAAGAAAAATAAGTGACTCATCCCAGACCCCACAGGGAGCCCACAGCAGAACTTCTGGGGCTGCACCAAGGGCTTAATAAAAAATGGTTTTGCTCTAAAGGCAGAGGCTGTGCAGCCTCACCCCATCAATAATAAAACAAGACAAGCCCCATGAGCTGCACACGAGCAAGGGACAAGATTAAAAGTGCCAAACTTCATTCACCTGGTGTCTCCAGGAAATCCAAACTCGTGCTTCCCCCAGGAAACACCAATTCCCAGAGAAATCCCTCCCAAAGCCACCTTGAACTGGGGTAATTCAGCAGCAGCCCCTCATTCTCACTGTTTGACCCACATGGGTGGTCCCTGCTCCTCGCTGGAGCTGCTGGTCCACGTGGAGCCAAGAGCAGCAGCAGCTCCCAAGTGATTATTTGATCACTTTCCTGCTTAATTGCCACTTTTAATTACTCGCATGGCAACAACAAAAAGTCAATCTGGCAACGGAAATCCATTCTTTGAACAACTTCTGCCTCTTCCCTCAGACACAGACTATTGCTCCATAAGCCATTCCTGATTAATAAGGGCCCCTCATGGGAAAGCCACTGGATTTCATTTCCTTCAGCTGACAGCCCCAAGTCCCCAAAAAGCAAGGGCAAAAGAACTTTTATTTTATCGTGGCAAGATGACACTGTTTTTTCCCCCTTGCCATTTTCCTTCAGGAAGATATATTAGCACTACATTTGCTCCTCCATGTGGTGGGATTTCTTAAATAAAAACGTATGTTCTATACGTCTGAGCTTGGAACCAGAGCTGCATTAGCCTGTTAACCATCCACGTTTGCTTCAGACTTGGCCAGCCACCTAGAAAACCTGCCAAGACCTCTCTGGCAGCGTTTTCCTCACAGTTCCAGGAAAACATGGAATATTCAAAGAATTTCAGGGCCTCCTGGCTTCGCTTGTCACCACTCTCCTTGCCCACTTAGAGCTAAATCACAGGCAAATTGCTCTAATGCCCTATTAAAGATTTAAAAATGGCCTTCTCCAGAGGAGGGTATCTGAGGACAAATCTCTGCTAATATATAATGCAAAAGGCCTGTTCAGATGTGATGCAATGTGGCAGGAGGGAGCTGCTTCACAGTCCTGCAGCTTCCCAAGGCAGTTCTGTCCTGTCTGGGGCTTTTAGAGCTCCCCCAGCTCACCCAGGCAAAGAGAGATTGGTTTTGTGCTCACTGTTATTCCAGAAATGGCTGCAATCTGACAGAGGGCAGGGTTTGAGGGGATATTGGCAATAAATTTTTCCCTGTGAGGCTGGGAATGGAATTCCCAGAGGAGCTGTGGCTGTCCCTGCATGCCTGGAAGTGTCCAAGGCCAGGCTGGAGCAGCCTGGGATGGTGGAAGGTCCCTGCCATGGCAGGGGTGGAATTAAATTATTTTTAAGGTCCCTTCCAACCCAAACCGTGCTGGGGTTCTGAACCCATTGAGATTTCAGAGTAAGAAGCAAACAAAAAAGTGAATTTCCAGCAGAAATTGGGGCTGAAGGCAAAGCTGTAAAAGACAGGCCGGGTGTCACTGCCACAGCCTGGCTGTGAGCTGACCCAGGGACAGGGAGGTGACCAAATGACATCGATTCCATACCCAAAATCCAGAGCAGGATCCATGGAAGTTGCACCTGGAGACATTTCCTTTGCAATTTAAAACCAGGAGCCAGCTCCTCTAGAAGAGGAAAATCCTGAGTGAACAAAGTCACTCCTAACCAAGAGCACACAGTGGCCCAGAGAAAAAGGCTTTAAATAATTTGGAGAGGGTTTTTTTCCTTACAGAGAGTAAAACCTCTCTGTGATTTCAGATGTCAAGCAGACTTTTCTTGATTCCCATCACTAATTTATGGATTAAACATTTAACCCTTGACTTGAGTATGGATTGAGAGTTCCCTGTTGCTGAGAGTTAAACAATAATAAAAATTCATATAATATTATAAATACTTTATTTATAACATTATACATTTTAAACTATATTTTCTTGTATTATAAATTTATTGCGTTATAAAATAATAAAAAAATAAATATGATATCTCTGAGCAGTGTCTTCTATCCTAAAACCTCCAACCAGCCCTGATTCAGCAGCCTCACTACATCTTTACAAACATGGAATGCACTGGACACTGATTGTGTTTTTTCCATTAACACCTCCCCTGGTTAACTCCTCATTCAATAATTATTCTTACATGCAAATGAAGGCAAGCACGTGACTGAACTATCTCAGGGCTCTTAGAAAATCAGTTCCTTTCCCACGTCTGAAGGGAAGGGAACTCTCCAGAATCTGCAGCAGAGCACTGGAGCCTTCCCTTCTTCCCTTCCAAATTCCTTTCTGCTTTCCCTTCTTCCTTTCCAATTTCACGTTTTCCCTTCTTCCTTTCCCATTTCCTTTGTATTTTCTCTTCTTCCCCTCCAAATTCCTTCCTGATTTCCCTTCCAATTTCATGTTTTTGCTTCTTCCCTTCCCATTTCCTTTGTATTTTCCCTTCTTCCTTTCCAAATTCCTTCCTGTTTTCCCTTCTTCCCTTCCAACTTCCTGTTTTCTCCTCTTCCCTTCCAGTTTCCTTCCAGTTATCTCTTCTTCCCCTCCAAATTCCTTCAGGTTTTTCGTTCTTCCCTTCATATTTGCTTTGCGTTTTCCCTTCACTTCCAATTTCCTTCCCTTCCTCCCTTCCCATTTTCCTTTTATTTTCCCTTCTTCTCTTCCAAATTCCTTCCTGTTTTCCCCTCTTCCTTTCCCATTTCCTTTGTATTTTCTCATCTTCCCCTCCAAATTCCTTTGTGTTTTCCCTTCTTCCTTTCCCATTTCCTTCATATTTTCTCTTCTTCCCTTCCAAACTCCTTCCTGTTTTCCCTTCTTCCCTTCCAATTTCCTTCATGCTTTCCCT